CCTGAGAGGAGAGAGCTGGTGCCTGGGAGAGGGAGGGGGTATTATTCCTGAAACCAATCCCCACACAAAGATCTACAGATTTTAAAGATGTTGGTAAGGGTTGGACATGGTGGCACACGTCTAGCGCATCCCAGCACCCAGAAGCCAGAGGCAGGAAGATTATCACAAGTTCAAGGCCAGCCTGGGATACAGAGTGAATTCCAGGTCAGCAAGATTATCTCAAAAACAAAACAAAACAACAACAACAAACCCAAAACAAAAAGAACAACAAAAATGAAACAAAAACAAATCACAAAAAATTACAGCCAACAAAAGTTGGTACACTGTTCCACAACTGTGCCAAGCCAGTGGAATGCCTCTGTTACAAGCATCTGTGGATCATTAAGATTTAAAACAGTGTATTAGGGGCTGGAGAGATGGGTCAGTGGTTAAGATCACTGGCTGCTCTTGCAGAGGACCTAGGTTCAGATCCCAGCACTTCCATGGCAGCTAACAACTATCTGTAACTCTAGTTCTAGAGGATATGAGACCCTCTTCTGGCCTCTGTAGACAGTGAACAACATATGTGCACTTACATACATGCAGGCAAAACACTCACACATAAAATAAATTTTTTTTAAGTATATAGATATTTCTTTCTCAGAATCACAGGATCTTGGGGCAGAGAGCTAGCTCAGCAGTTAAGAGCACTGGTGCTTACTGCTCTTGCACAGGACTGGGGTCGATTCTCAGTACCCAGCCTTTATATTCCTGAGATGTGTTGATGGTTCTGTCACAGGGGGGCTTTCAGGAGCCTCTAGGGATGGGGCTTGGAGCAGGTGAGTGTAATGGAAACAGCCTGTTGGGGGATTCTGATTCACCACCTGCCTTGCCTCGAAGGGTAGGAAGAATCTCAAGATCATTACTGGGTATTGGAAGACATTCTCACAAAAGGTTCCTGCCAGGAGTCCTCCTTTCGTTTTCTTTCCTTCCCTCCCACATTCCTCAGACTTTTGGAGACAACATACATACAGAAGAAAGAGCCGCCTCCTTTGCACACTGGTTCATTTGAAAGGGTTGATATCTGAAGGAGAGAAATGGCTACACCATAGTGAGCTTTCTGTAAACCAGTTCCATGCTGTTCTGGTGTGTTTATCACCTACCCCTTGAGCTAAACGTGAGGCTGAGTGGTAATTGCCTGGGTCTTCAGGAGTCCATTTCCCAGCAGGTGTAACCCACAGGCCCAGAGAAGCCCCTGAGGAGTAATCTTTACACAGCTGCTTTGGCAACGGAGTTCACCAGTGTTTGCTATGCGTCCAAGGACAAGCAGGTACAAATTCTCCTTCTTAAATTGGCACATTCCCTGTGCGCTTTCGAGATTTCACAGTGGGCTTCACACTTTGGGAACAATTTCCATCATCGTCTAACTGGCAAGTACTAGTTCTGTGGTAATTTGTGTCTTTAAAATAGCTTAATACACAAAAGGGCACAGAGGTCCACTCTGCTTCTGACGTGATCACTTAAATACACATTCTCACAGTGTTCCCAACCTGGACATTTTTAAACACATCCAAAAGAATGCCATGTTGTATTTCCTTAGCCTTTCCTATATGCTTCAGGTATCAACATGTGCAGACATGTTATTCCAATTTCTCTGTTCTACATTCTTTACGTACTCAAATCTGTTTCTCGCAGACTTCTGTATTAATTATTATTTCTTATTCTTAACATTCTATCAAATTATCCATGTTCTAGCAAGGTTTGGGTGGCAGCCTTGGAACTGGCTTTCCTACCTTTAGGTTGATAACTGTTTTATTTTGTTCAGGGCTGCAAGGGGAACCCAGCATGGGAGACTTCAATGTTAAACAAGAAAAATCTAAGACAAATCAGAGCAAAGTGGTTGCTCTGTTACCATTGTCATACTTGATAAAGGAGCAGGTAGACCTAATCAAGGGTCATTTTTATTCTCTGTGTAGACACCAGTATAGTGCTTGGTTCGAATTTCCTGATAACACCTTGTTAAGTGTCTCTCTTTTCTCTCTCCCTCTTTTTTCCCCAATCTGTCTCTTTCTGCTTCTGTCTCTCTCTTTCTCTCTCTCCTCCCTTCTCTCTTCTCTTCTCCAGGGTCTTGCTACATAGCTCTAGCTGACCTTGAACTCACAGTCGCCTTCAATCTCCTGAGTGCTAGGATTATAGATGTATGCCACCATGTCTGGTTGCCTCCTTTTTAAACAGAACAGCTTATTAAGATAGATGTGTGTGATCCAGTGGTTTTTTTAGTCTACTCACAGAGTTGTGAAATATCATCACAATTAATTTTAGAATATTTTCATAACTCCCCAAAGAAACCCTGTGCCCATTGGCAGTCAACCTGACTCCTCACCCCTTATCCCCAGCCAAATCCCTCAGCCTCTGACAATCTCTGGCCTATGTTCAGCCTCTCAAGCTTTCCTGGACACTGTATGTAAGAGGACTCTCATTAATATGTGCACTTTGGGTTCTGGCTTCTTTTGCTTGGTATAACACTTTGAGGACCATCCATGTTATAGCATGTATCTGAATTCATTGTTGACAAATCATATGCTCATGGTACATATGCTCCACATCTGAGTTATGTATTTATAAGCTGATGAATATTAAGATTGTTCTGTACCACTTAGAGACATACAAGTTTTTGTGTGGATATATGTTTTTGTTTCTTTGGGGCATATACCTAGGAATGGAAACATAGAAACTTTATGTTTAACTTACCTTAAAATTTTTATTACATTTATATATTTGTGTATTTCTCTCTCTCTCTCTCTCTCTCTCTCTCTCTCTCTCTCTCTCTCTCTCGGAGATATTGTTTCCTCTTGATTTTCCAAGGACTTCAGGTGTCTCCTTAAGTTATTTATATTAGTCTCTCTCTCTCTCTCTCTCTGCATGTCATGCTGCATGTGGAGGGCAGAAGACCAACTGCAGGAGTTGGTTCTCTCCTTCCTTCTACTATGTGGGGATCCAACTCAGGTCACCAACACTTGGTAACAAGTGCATTTAGTCTCTGAACCGTCTTGCCCTCCCTTTATAAGGTTAACTTGTTGAGGGATTTCCAGACTGTTTTCCAAAGCAGCTGGACTATTTTAAATTCTCACCATCAGTGTACACAAATTCCTTGCCGACACTTGTGACCATCTTTCTTTTTCATAATAGCTACCCCAGTAGACATGAGGTATCATCTCATGGTTTTGGTGTGTTTCTCTAATGGTCACTGATACTATCTTTTCCCATGCTTATAATTAAGCTTCTTAAATGAAAAGTTACAGCAAACAGAAAGGGTGTTTGCAACAAACTGATTGTGTGCTATGGTTAAGATTTTTAACTAAATACTTGACAGGATGCTCACAAATAACTTCCACCATCTCAAGTCATTCTACTGAGAAGCAAATCTAATACACTGACTTTTCCTCATGACCAAAAGTTGTCCTGATGGAAGCCATGCTCTCTTGGCTGATGCTGAACCACCCTCTGCTGGCTCCATGGAGTCTTGCCCTCAAATGGCCACCTCTTGGAGTCCGTATCAGACATTGAACTGTGCTGGGTATGTGCCCTGGTGCTTTGTTGATCAACATCCTCACAGGGTTCCACCAGTGATCAGGCCTCCTATGGGGCTTGGGGCCCTGGGTGCCTCACACACACTCATACCTTCTTCCCTTCCCCTCCGGTTTTCTGCTATTTCTCCTTTTTCTGGTTCTTCTCTCCAATGTCTCTCGTGTCCTCAATGTGTCATTTACTTTTGGTTCCTTTTTCCCCTAACAGACTCAAACAGGATCCATATGTGCTAGTCAGCTTTCCCTTTCTATAACTGATACCTAAGATAACCAATTTATAAAGAGAAGGATTTATTTTGGCTCACGGTTTCATGTACTTTTAGGACTATGGCATGGCATCATGGTGGCAGCACGTGGTAGAGCAAAACCTCATGGCCACGTGAAAGAGAAGAGACGAGGGCTCCACAGTCGCCTTTGAGGGCATGTCCTCAGTGGCCACTCACTAAGCCCCACCTCCTAATGGCTCCAGTACCCCTCAAGTGCACCTAGCTGGGGAGCAAGCCTAACACAACAGCCTTTAAATGACATTTTAGGTGCAAACTATAGCTTCAGGATACACCATCCCATGTCCTGTTCTTGCTTTCTCTCTATTGATTAACTGAAACCCCTACTGACTTGACAGAAAGAGACAGGATTCCTGACAAGGCTACCAAGAGAATGATCTCTGTCAGAAAATAGACTTCTGGCTATGGTATTCTTGGGAGCAGAAAAGGGATTGGTCCTAGCCCTGGCCACAGCCACAAGATGCTGGCCAGCAGGGAGGTCTGTTTTTTTGGAGGGGGCTTGAACTAGAGTCTCATGAAGTTTTATTCATCCCAGGCTGGCCCTAAACTCATTATGTGGCCATAGACAACCCTGAACTTCTGATCCTCCTGACTCTGCCTCCCTAGTGCTGGGATTGCAAGTGTGAGCCACCACACCTAGTTGATGGAATGTTGGGGATTGAACCCAGGGTTTTTTGCATACTGGGAAAACACTCTACTAACTAAGCCACATATCAGTCCCTAAATCAACAGTTTCTAAACATGTCTATGGCACAGGACCCTATCTCCTCCTTAATAGGCAACTATTGTAAAGATAATGTTCAGCACTTAATTAATACTTGGTATGTGAGGGTAAAATAGCCACCACCTTGCACTTTGGCAAAGGGGGCAAGGACAGGAATAATAATTAACAAGTATGCAATACTAATAATGAATTAGTGGAAGAGGAATAACATGTGCTAATAACATGTAGCACAGTTCAGTTCAGAAGGGACAGGATGTATTGTTATTAGCTTCATTATAGATTGAACCCAGCTCAGAGACAATAGGGTGAAATGTAGATACCACATAGGGATGACCTTAAGGACCACAGTGTGGACCATACTGCCATCCTCAGCCCTGACCAAAGAGATCTGGAGCCTGGAGCCCCTGTGTGTAAAACAGTAAGCAGTGCTGGGTGGTGTATGTTTTTCAGAATCAAGGGACCCGAGAAGGAGGAGAAGTTGAGGCAGGCAGTCAAGCAGGTGTTGAAGTGCGATGTGACTCAGAGCCAGCCTCTGGGTGGAGTGCCCCTGCCCCCTGCTGACTGCCTGCTCAGCACACTGTGTCTGGATGCTGCCTGCCCTGACCTCTCCACCTACTGCACTGCCCTCAGGAACATGGGCAGCCTTCTCAAGCCCAGGGGCTTCCTGGTGATCCTGGATGCCCTGAAGAGCAGCTACTACATGATTGGTGAGCAGAGGTTCTCCAGCCTCTCCCTGGGCAAGGAAGCCGTGCAAGCTGCCGTGGAAGAGGCTGGCTACAGCATCGAGCGGTTTGAGGTGATCTCTCAAAATTATTCTTCCACCATAGCCAACAATGAAGGACTTTTCTCCCTGGTGGGACGCAAGATGGTCAGATCTGTATGACGTTCTGTGATCTCAATTAAAGCAGTCCCTCTGGCTTACTGGTTCATTTCAGTCTGTGGTTCTGACTGTAGTGGTCACTGTGTTGGGTAGAGACAGACTGGCTCTATGGATGGAGGATGGGGTCTAGGATAAACTCATGAGTCACCTCCTCTATGCACCACACACATGCTGGTGCTATGGGGCCCTGAGGTGAGTAACTGGGGCATCTGGTCTCCCCTGCCTGTACTCACAAAAGAAGCCTTCACTGCCACAAACATTCAGTTATGGGGAATCAAGCCCACACACCTGCCTATAGAGACGCATCTCCAGCTATTTACCACCAGCTTCCCAGGGAGCCTGCTGCCTTCTCCCTGGATAGACCGGACATCCCAGCTTTTGCTGCTGTTGGACTTGCTCTGGGCACAGGCGGTCTCTGAAAGATTCCCCTCCTGTCAGCACTGATCTGACCTCAGGAGCAAGAGAACAGTTGACCAGTATTTCTATTTATCCCAGGGGTCCATTTTTTTTTCCCCTAAGTTAAATTGTGTTTTGTTTAATTTTTGTATTTTTGTGAATACCGCCCATGAGTATAGTCTACATTGTATCCATTCTTCCCAGTTCCCCTCCAACTCC